CATGAGTTGTTACATCTTTAATTCTGATCTATTATTACTTGATCATTCTAGCCTTCTTCCCTTACTTATCTGTAACTGTGAGAAACCTGGCTCTTAGAATCTGCTACCCATTTATTTAATTTTTCAGTTCTAGGGTTTACATGTAGCGGTGTCATAACTGTTAACCTGCACCCCATGGGAAGCAGCTTTATCAAATGCAGTACAGTGCTGCATGCTCTCGTTCTTACAGACCTATTCCAAAGTTCATTTCCAAAGTTGCTTAGCTTGTCACCTTTCCCTTGCCCCAACTTTTTCTGTAAGATTCTTTCATTCATTGTAATACAGTTAGGCTCTCTTGTCACAGACTGTGTGCCTCCTTGGGATCATACAATGTCCCAAATGACTTTTTTACAATTTTCTATAATTTGTTCCTTATGTTATAAAATTCTGTGAGTTTTGATGAATGTGTAATATATATGTACTGCTATGGAATCATACAGAGAAGCTTTATTACCTGAGACCCTGTGTTTCATCTATTCATCCCTTCTTTGAGTTCCCAGAACTCTTGCTGACACTGATCTTTTCCTTGTCTCTATACTTTGACCTTTTACGGAAAGTGATTGGGTTTGTACAGGATGCCTTTCAGACTGGCATCTTTCACTTAACAATATGCATTTAAGGTTTCTCGTGTGTGTGTGTGTGTGTGTGTGTGTGTGTGTGTGTGTGTGTATTCACAGTTGCTTTTTGTTGCTGAGTAGTGCTCCATTGTATGGATGGACTACGGTTTATTCACCTATCGAAGGATATCTTGGTTGCTTCCAGTTAAGAAAAAAAAAAGTTATAAACATTCACTTGTGAGGTTTTGAGGGTTTGTGTGTCATAAATTTTCAGATCAACTAGGTAAATAACTAGGAAGGTCTTGCTGTTTTTGTATGGTAAGAGTGTGTTGGGTTTTGTAAGAAGCTCCAGAAGTGTCTATATCATTTTACATTCCTGCCATCAATGAATGAGAGTCCCTGTTGCCCTACATCTTACCAGCATTTGATATTCAGCTTTGGGATTTCAGTTATTCTAATAGTTGTGTAACTCTACCTCATTGTTGTTTCAGTTTGCAATTTCCTGATGAAAAGTGGTAGTGAGCATCATTTTATGTGCTTATTTGAAATCCATGCATCTGTTTTGTTAAAGTGTCTGTTTAGATCATTTTCTCATATTTTAATTGAGTTGTTGTTATCATAGTTGAATTTTAAAAGTTTTTATATATTTTGCATACTGGTCCTTTACCACATAAATCTTTTGCAATATTTGTTTCTAGTTTGTGGCTTTACTTTTTATTCTTTTAACAGTGTTTTTCAGAGAGAAGTTTTTAATTAAAAAAAAGTGCAAATTAGAAACTTTTCTTTCATGGATTATGCTTTCGGTATTGTATCTAAAAACTCATCACCAAAGCTAAGTTCACTTAGATTTTCTCTTCTAGATATTATCTATTATGTAGAAGTTCTATAGCTTTGAAGTTTACATTTAGGTCTGTGATCCATGCTGAGTTGATTTTTGTGCATGTGGGTTTTATAGTGCCATTTGTTGTAGACTGTCCTTTCCCTTTTGAATGTCCTTCACCTCTCTGTCAGGGATCACTTCACTGTACTTGTGTGGATTTACTCTATTCTGTTGACCTGTTTACCTACTCTTTTGTCAGTCCTACCGCACTGTCCTAATGCGTACCACTTTGTTCTTTAGTTTTGAATTGACTAGTCTGGATCTTTTGTTAATATTCACTAAACAGCTTGCTGTGTTTGTTTTTGGGCAGTACTAGAGTTTGATTGCTTTAGTTATTTTTTATAGATGGTCTTGTGCCTTTTGCCCTGACTGGCCTTGGATTACAATCCTCCTACCTACACCTCCCTTATAGCAGAGATTACAGATATGTAACACCACGCCTGGATTGTTTGTTGAGATGGTGTTCTCCCTAGGTTTTTGCCTGAACTAGCCTCAAACCCCAATCTCCCAATCTCTTAATTCCTGTGTAGGTGGGATTACAGATGCAAGCCACTATGCCTGACCCAGTTTGCTTGATTTTGATGAGGATTGCATTGTCTATAGATAAACTGTAGATAAAGAATTAACATTTCTTTTGGCAGTACTGGGGTTTGAACTCAGGGCTTGATGCTTGCAAGGCAAGCACTCTACCAGTTGAGCCACTCCACCAGTCTTGAGCAAGAATTGACATCTTAACAATAGTGGATTTTCTGATCCATGAACACATATTTGTCATTTATTTAGGTCTTCGTTAATTCCCTTCATAGAAGTTTTATACTTTACTGCATATAGATTCTGGAAAAGTTTTGTTACATTTAAATCTAGATATTTATCATAGTAATGGCTTGCGTTTTTCATCTCCCATTCTAGTAATTGCTGATATATAGGAAAACTGTTGACTTTTGTACATTAGCCTTGTATTCTGAAAACTTGCTGTAACTGCTTATTAATTCCAGTTTTCCTGTTGGTCCTGTGGTACTTTCTGTATAGACAAGTCATCCACAAAGACAGTTCTTTTTCCTCTGCTCACTCAGAATGCCTTTATCTTCTTTTTGTTGTTGGGGGGAGGGGCAGTGCTGCAGGTCTAACCCGGCCTTGTACATGGTAGGCGAGCGCCCTACCAATGAGCTACATCTCCTAACCCCCTTTATTTCCTTTGCTTGTCTTATGCTACCTAGGATTTAAGTCTGATGTTAAATAGGAACTATGAGAATAGGATATATTGCCTTGTTCATGATCTTAAGGGGGTAGGGGAAGCATCTAGTTTCTTACTGTTAATTGTGATATTAGCTGTAAGGTATTTGTATATACTTTTTATCAAGTTGAAAGTTTCCCTCATACCTAATTTGTTAAGTTTTTAGTTATGAATGGCTGTTGGATTTTGTCATACATTTCTTGCATCAGTTGATAGAATTACATGATTTTTCTTTTTATGGCCTTACGGATGTGGTGGATTATATTAGTTGCCTGCCTTCTTTCCCTCCTTCCTCCTTTCCTCCCTCCCTCTTCCTATGTCCTTCCCTTCCTTTCTTGCTTTTCTCATACTAAACCAGTCTTGAATACCCAAAATAAATCTCTCTTGGTCATAGTATATAATCCTATTTATACATTGTCATTTTGATTTACTAATACTTTGTTGAGGATTTCTGCATATAAATCCCTGAGAGATACTGTGCTGTAGATCTTCTTACAGGGTTCTTTTCTTCTGATTTTGATATTAGCAGATCTGCTCTTTTAATTTTTCTCCACTCTTCCCCAGCTTTATTTATTTGTTTATTTATTTTTTTGTGCTGGGGATGAACGCAGGGCCTTGCACTTGCTAGGATAGTACTCTGGTGCTCTGCTGCTTGAGCCATGCCTCCAGCCCATGTTTTGCTTTTTGGTGGCACTGGGATTTGAAGTCAAGGCCTTGAGTTTGCAAGGCAGGCAACAACCCAACCCTGTTTTCCAGCTTTTGTCCATATACATTTTCTGTCATTTTTAGCTGTGTGAAAATCATGTACAGGTTGTATTTGTTCGTTAATATTGTTAATTTCCAACATCCATTCAGTCTCTAGCTATACCTTTTTTGTTCTGCTTTATAAATTTTATTATATGATATTCATTTATGTTCCTTAAATGTTATTTATATTCTGAAGTCATCACTATCATATATGGTGAGTACTTATACTTAAAGTCATGTTGAATTTTAAAATGAAAAATGTCCTTTAGCTGAATTTGTAAAATTACCATTATATGCTAAAATCTCTAGATTTCTCTTCTGGAATTATAGTTGTGTTATGAGGATAATGAGGAAACTTTATTTTCCACTAGCTAATAAGAAGTGTCGTAGCCCTTTGTACTAGGTGTGAATTTTATTTTGTGAATTATTTTTAAGTTATATTGTGGTGGCACATTGTAACATTTACAGAGGCTCCGGCCTGGGGGAGTGACTCAAGTAGCAAAGACCTGCCTAGCAGGTGTGAGGCTCTGAGTTCAAACCCCAATACCAAAAAATAAATAAACAGAAAACAAAAAACCAGCCAAACAACCCCTCCCCACACAAAAGTTCTTATATTATGTCATAGTTGAATTCACCCCCTCCATCATTCTCCTTTATCCCTCCTCCCCCATTCCTGAAATAGTTTCAGCAGGTCTCATTTTTCCACTTACACACATGAGTACATAATATTTCTACCTCATTCACCCTCTTACACCTTCCTCACACTGGTACCAAACCCTCAGACTTACACAGAAATTTACCTGGAAAAAATAATGGGATCGTGCATTCCATCAGTGGTGGTGTAGTCATAAAATGGGGCCTGGCTGGCAGGAGGGGACACTTTTTTTTTCACTCAACCTCCTCCTTTTATGTTCTCTGTCTTTCTCTAACTTATTATTTCTTTTCAATCTTTGTGTGAACAGAAGAACATAGTGATTAAAATGTTATGTTTCTTATTGTCAAATACTAAAACAAGTAAGTTGAAGAAAATATAAATTTCTCATTTTCTTTTTTAAATATGTTATTTTAATAGACAGTAATTATATATATTTATGGGATACATTGTAACATTTCAAAACATGTATACAACATATAATGGTCAGATCAGAATAACTGGCATATCTGTCACCTTAGACTTTACCTTTCTTTGTGGTGGGATCACTCAAAATCCTCTGTTGTAGCTATTTTGAAATATTCAGTTAATTGCTGTCAAATGTAATTATCCTGTTGTGTATAGAATTTTACAAGTCCATCTGCAGCCCTCTACCTGTTACCCTCCTCCCTACCCTCCCTCATCTCATTTCCCCTTTTCTTGTGTTTGGTCAAGTAAAAAGTTTTACAAGTTAGCATTGGATGTGACTAGCAACAGTGATTGGCAACAAAGGAAATTTTAGGACTTACTATCTTGAGTAAAATAGAAGTATATAGATTATGATTTTTTAATATAAAAATTCTGTTTGCAGAACAGCAAAGTGTTCATGTTTTTGTGCCTGCTGTTTCATAGGCAGAGAATCCCCCTAATGGACCAGAGTGTGGGTTTGGCTCCTTTCATCAGCAGTACTGGCTTGATGGGAAGATCGTCGCCGTGGGGGTGATCGACATTCTTCCCTCCTGTGTTTCTTCTGTGTATTTGTACTATGATCCCGACTATTCATTTCTGTCTTTGGGCATCTACTCTGCATTACGGTAAGTTGCTTTCTGCACTGGTAATGGTTATGTAGAACTTTAAACAGTTGCTCAGTTGTTGTACTCCATTATGTTGCTGAAGATTATCATAATTTGTTGCTGTAGTCGTAGCCTAGTTGTATGTTGCTATCTAGAACTCATGCCATTGTTGGGTAGTAACTGTTAACTTACGTTCCACTCATTCTAGTGTATAAAAACTATTGTTTTTGGAGATGTTGTTTGTTGGTTAGTTCATACATTTATTTAAACATCTCCATCAGAACCAATGTGTTCCTTAAATGTTAGTTTACTTATATTCTTGTCATCACCATCATATATATTCTTTCACTGTTCATTAAAACTTAAATTAATGTGGTGTAAATTAATTGAAGCAGTATGAGTCTCCTGGAAATAACCCAGTGTTGTAGTTCTGCGTTGCTTAAGGAAAAAGACCCATTTTGAGAAGTGTGTCCCTGGGTAATTGTGGTTGGATGGCCATTGTAGAGCACACTTACACATACTGAGATGGCTACTGCATCTCTAAGCAGTCAATTTTTGGAGGACACTGTTCAACATGCAGCCCATTCCTGCAAGCATCATTATGGGGCCTGGGACTGTCTAAATATGTCTGATGGTCATGTTTTCACATTGTGAGAAATATACTGCAGGTTATTGTTTGTGTTTGTGCTTTTTTCTGAATTATGAAAGTAGAAAAATTGATTTTTTAAAATTATTTTTTGTTGGTATGGGGTTTGAACTCAGAGCTTTGTGCTTCCTGGTCAGGTGCTCTTCCATCTGAACCATACCTCTAGGCTTTTTTCGCTTTAGTTGTTAGTGCTGTTGCTTGGAGCCACCTTGGACTGGCCTTGGATGTGATCCTTCGAATCTCCACATTCTGAGTAGCTGTGATTACAAGTGTGAGCTACTTTACCCAGCTTATTGACTGAGATACGATCTTGCTAGTTTTTTGCCCTGGCTGGCCTCAAACCTCTAATCTCTGTCCCCCAAGTAGATGGTATTATAGCTGTGTGTCACCATGTCAGGCTGATACATTGTGTTATGATTTATCTGGATAGGGCTGGAGGTGTGGTTCAAGTGGTTAGCAAGCATGAGGCTCTGAGTTCAAACCCTAATATCACAGAAAAAAAAAAAACCATTTACCTGAATATAAATGACAACCACGTCATGTATAACCATTGCAGCGAAAGTACTAATAGTTTCTTTGCTCAAGCAATGCTGGCCTCTGCCAACAAATAAAGAAAACCTGGTGAGATAACAGGTGTGCTTTTTTTTTTTCCCCCCCTCTTTCATTTAGGGAAAATATATATTAAGCTACAGGGACAAGTTATGTGTCAAAAATAGAAATTGTCATAGTAATAGGTGTTCTCCCTAAAGTTTTTCTGCTATTGTTTTCTAAAATTTAATGTACTGTTTTCAGCCCATTAACAGCCAAGATTCTTTGAGAATTCTGGGACAGAATGAATTTTAGGCCAGCTACTTTGTCTAATAAAGCATAAAATATGAACCGTAGAGGCCCTTGCTTAAAATAAGTGAGGGGGTTTTAGATGTCTTTTTAGTAAAAAGCACCTTAGTGTTTTGAAAGTTATTTTTCTCTCAAGAATATGAATGTAACATAATTTACTGTACTGTAATATGTTGTTGACTATTATGGGATCATGGTGATAGAAAATGAGCAAGTAATAGCAGGGTTAATTTGATTAACGCACGATATATATAAAAACGGAACTGGGTTTTTGATACATAACATCAGATTTTATTTGTTATGCAATTACATAGTGTTTGAAAATTGGAACCAGAATTAATTGTCCCTTCTTCTTCCTTTGGCAGAGAAATTGCTTTTACTAGGCAGCTTCATGAGAAAACATCTCAGCTCAGCTATTATTACATGGGTTTCTACATTCATTCCTGTCCCAAGATGAAATATAAGGTAAAGTCGATTTTCATACATGTGTCCATTTTCATTATAGAAGAGGAATCTTTAATAAAGTATGCATCTCATGGCAGAGGATTTGAGTTTTTGGGGGTGGGGGGTGAGTAGGTTAAAAAGAAATCTCTTGCGTGTCTCAGAAAGTGGGCTTTCTGTAATAAGAACCATAGCCTCAGCTGCTCTAGCTTTGTGATCTGTCATGTTGTTGTGAGATTTAAGTATATTTCAGGATTTCCCTTTGTAAAACAGGTTTTATGACTCTCTTTGGTGAAACCCTTTGATGTTTTCTAAATACTAGTGGAGACTACCACGAGCACCTCTGCTTCACTGGCCAATGCACTCTGATCTCTGAAGATGCACAGAGGTGCAGGCACCAACTTTCCATTTAAAATTTGTTCCCAAGCAAAGCTGGGCATTTTACATAAAATCAGGTCATGCAGTGGTTGGTAAGTGGCCTGGGAGAATTTGGGGTTTTCCTCCACAAAGTATGGAAAAGGAAGGAAGGAGAAGGTCCAAGAGAAGAGTAGGTGTGACAGGAAGCTCATTTTGAGGTGATAGTACCTGCAATGTCTTCACAGGAGAGCAGAAGAACCTTGAAAGCTGGTCTCAGGGACTCAGGCAGTTGGAAGTCATTGTTGGGTTTTAGAAAATATAAATCTTTTCCAGTGTATACATGTGATTTTATAAATAATGAGAGAGTCTTTAAAACATGCCAAAACAAAGAAACAAGTATACGTGAACCTTTATTTCATCTATTCCTTTACCCCATATCACCTCCATCCCCTTTGGAATTATTTTGGAGTAAATCCAGGGTATCCTTTCATTTGTAAATGTTTTAGTGTATATTTCTGAAAGATTTTTGAAAACCTTACTGTAATCTCATCATCACACCTTAAAGGTATTAACAGCATTTCCAAATATCATCTGATACCTAGTCCACAGTTCTCTGTTTCATAATCTTTTTCATAATTTATTTGTCTTAGGATCCAGTCAAGGCTATGCATTGTATTTGATTGATATGCCTCTTCAGTCTCTATATTTCACTTCCCTCTTTTTGCTGTCCTAGAAAGGAATAATCCACAGGACTTAGTAATTAACTAATTGTGTGAATGATCCTGGTTTCAAAGCTTTAAGTCTGAATACTGAGTGGCTGATGTGTCTATTTTCAGAAATTATGGATTCTAAAGGTAGGACTGAGTGAGAGAAGTGTCAAAATGTAATGCTATACCTGACTGGTTTTATGTGGACAATTCCAGGTAGTCTGATCAAAGTGTCTTGTGGGCATCTGGAGGCTCTCTTTTGAGTTCATATTTAAGCATACATTGTAGATAATTGACTTCTGAATATGATTGTCATAAAATTATCTTTATTCCTGAATTATTCATTTATTTGATGGGCCTAACCATATGGTGTGTACAGAAGGAAAGCATGAATGTATTTCTCTTTATGGTCAAACATTTACTTGGTACTGCTTTTACTAGTATGTTCCTTTAGCTCCTTTTCCTAGTAAAAGCAAACAAACAAACAAAAAAAACAAAAAAATTCAGCTACAGTTGGCAGAATAGCTTCTGCAAAATCATGTGCTACTGAAATCCTCAAGCTTCTGAGCTTCTCAAATTCTCCTGACCAGACAAGCTACATTCCTTTAGTCCAGCAGCCCAGGGTGATGCACATGGGGACAGGAGGCACCAACTTTGCTACTGCTGGCCTGAAAGGAACACAGATGATCTCATCACTTACCCACAGCATGGAGCGAAATATTGGATTCTTTTGATTCAGCATTTGGAGTTTTCTTTTTTGTTTATGCCACATGTCCAATGAATTAGACATAGTAAAAAAAAAATACCACAGAATATTTTTACTAAGAGGTTTTTGATGCCTCCTAGAGGCAGTGGGAGGTAAAAGAATTCTGGTATTCATCACAAATTTATTTCTAAAAGTGTCACACGTGAAGACATGTGCCACATCAGAGTCAGAATCATTTCTTTAGGGGTCATCTGTTCTGAGCTTCCCATTACAGATGAAGAAATTGAAACTCAAGATGATTTTGCATTGACTCACATTTTAATTTTAGCAACCTTTAGGAGAATTTGAACTTAAGAATTGGAATTCGCATGACTAGTATTGCTTATCAGATTTAGAATAAAGTATATATAACTTTCAATCTTGGAGAATCCTTAAGTGCTTGGCTTATTAATTAATGTTAACTGGTAAAAGGTAAAAGTACATTTAATCACGTGCCATATTTTTCCCATCCTTTCCTTATCTCTCCACAGTGAAACAGACACCTTGGGATAGTACATGATTTTTAATCTTTGAAAAATAGCAATCATCTGTGGAACTGTTGAAAAATACTAATTCCTGAGCTCTACCCTGACCTCCTGAGAGAAAAGTTTGCTTTCCTCTCTTACATGGTTCATTCTCTGGCAACTAGCCACTGCTTCATGTTCCTGTGAACTTCCTGCCTCGACATTCGCACTGCCCGTTGAATCTGAAAGTCTGTCACTGTCTCTGCATGCACAGCTCAGAACTTGCTCTCCAGACCAAGCTCATGCACCATTTGTTCTGGAAAGTCATCGCACTCTCTCTCTCTCTCTCACTCTCTTTCTGTCTCCCGCTTCATCTTCAGCAACTACTTCCTGCATACTGAAGCTGGAGGTAGTCTATCTGCTGTTGAGATTTCTTCTCATTTTTTAACTGTTTTATCCGGAGCTCCCTTTGGGCTCTAGCCCAAAATGTACCTGACTAATCCGGAGCTCCCTTTGGGCTCTAGCCCAAAATGTACCTGACTAGTCCGTGTTTATGGAGGGCTTGCTCTGTGCAAAAAACCATGCTTGATGCCAAGGCAAAAGGAAGATGGTCAGACATGTTCCTTGCTTGCCTGTCTTTGAGCAAACCATGTTTTGTCTGTCACTGTCCCCAGAGTCCAGCACATTAATTTAGCAAGTAGAATGTGCTCAGTAGGTTTTTTGGCATTCATTGCATATGAAAGTTGGAATCTGTTTGCATGGGCATAACGGGAGTGAAGGAAAGTAGTAGTAAGTACTGCACACACACAGGGAGGTTGTAATTAAACTTCGGATTTGGTAAAAATTTAGTCCGCTGTATAGTTTATGTTTTCTGTGAACTCTTTTCTTTCTTATCTACTTTTTTTAAAACAGTCAACTTGTTATTTGCATGAATGTATATATGTATGCATATGTATATATATATATGTATGCATGTGTATATATGTATGTATGCATGTGTATATATATGTATGTGTGTGTGTGTGTATATATATATATATATATATATATATATATATAGATGGATAAAAGCACATCAATCTTGAGTTTACAACTTGATAAATTTTCACAAAGTGAGTGCACCTGTGTAACCAGCACCAGAACCAGAAACAGCATGAGCAGCACCACCCCCATAAGCCTCTCAGACTCTCCTTGATTACTGTTCCAACACTAAAGATGATCAGTGTTCTAACACTAGACCAGTTCTGCTGTTTTTATACTTTACAAAAAGGGAAATGCTTAATACTTTGACTGGCTTGTTCATTCAACAGTGTACTTGTGAGATTTGTCCATGTGTTGTATGTAGCATTGGGGGTTATTGTCATTGTTGAGTATGGTGTTCCCAATTTATCACCACCTCCTTCCACTTAAATACTTTATTCACCTTTTAAGCAATATCATTTTCAGATTAGTGAAAAATGAATTGATAATGTAGTATTGAATTATTCCCTTTATCAAAACAATCACACCATATTTAGACTGGAAATTGAAGGTTAGCCTGTCATAGGAACTATAGCTTCATGCTAATTAGAGTTGGCATAATATTATTGTGTTAGTGCTGTGTGATTACCAATTCAAGTTCAGTCTTTTTAATATGTCACTATCACTTCAAAGAGCAATTCTACTTACCCGCCTTACCTAGATTCTACCCATCATTGTAAGTCATTTTTTAACTTTTGTGATTTAAAACAAGTTTTGTGGTTATATCTATGTGTCATGTATGTATATTATATGTGATGTGACTTAAGTGAAGAAAATCAATTAGACTCTTAGATATCCATGAGTCTTCCTATTAAAGAAGTTCTAAGTCAACTCCTTGAGTTATGTGTATCTTAAGGCCCTTTGTCTCACATTTACTGTTGGTATCTTCTTCCCACGATAATAAAGTGAGCTGTGTTTTGAACAAAGGTAAACCTTTAGGTGAAATCTATGTGTTCATTTAAAAATAAAGGATACAATTTTTTTGTTGTTCACAAATATTCATTGACTTGCTCTGAAGATGGTAAAATTCAGATGGCACAATTTTGCTTGTTTGAGTATCTGCCTCTGCCAGGGGACTTGTTGGTCTAAATTGATTTTGAGGGGAGTATTTTAAAATTTACTGTTAAAAATACTGAAATTACTGAAATGTGTTTTGCCAGAACCTTGCTTGTTACTCTCAGTGTTAGTATATGATAACTGAATAGCCAGTACCTCAGTACTGACATTTAACAGTTAACTTAATGTTTCATTCTTCCCAAGAATTAAATTAGTTTTCAAAGGGGAAATTAAAATTTTAGTTGTAGATTTTAAACATCTAGGGATTCATGTGAGACATTTTAAATTCCTTCTTTACTTTGTTTTAGGGCCTTGTGGTTAGATCCATCCTTGGTACTGTTAGAAGAATCTACTTTTGGACTTTTGCTGCGACCTCTCCTCTTGTGCTTACCCCTCTGCTCATAGCTTGGTTCTCCTTATCCTCCTTTTACTTCTATTCACCTTCCAAGATGTGTCTCAGGTTTCTTCTGCTGAGAGCTCTCACTCAGCTCCTTGACATAGTGTGTTGTTCTCAGTGCGGCTTCCGTGCTGTTATCAGCATGAGTCCTTGTTCTCCCATGTGTCTGTCTCATTACCCTGCAAGTATCTGGGAAGGTGGAATTGGAGCTTATTATTTTCTTTGGCAGCAACCCCTGTTTTATAGTAAATGTTCAGTAAATCTTTGGATGGGTGAAC